GCCTCTGATCAGCAAGTCCCTTCTTCAAAGTCAGATAGGTCCTGAAATGCCGGAGGCTATTATTTATTGGAGAGAACAAGTCACAAACTTTCACTCCCATAAACAAGTTTGTTTGACCCATCTGCACAGGATGTGCTTGATCACATGTAGCCAGGAGATCCACAAGCAGGAAATACATCAGGATATACACTGACCAGTGATTGGATGTAGGCTGGAGGTACATCAGGATATATGTCTGCCCCTAATTGGACCTGATGGGAAATGGAATGAATTGTTTTTTGTTGTTGTTTTGGTTTGGTTTTTTTTTTTTTTTTTTTTTTTGAGATAGGATTTCTCTGTGGCTTTGGAGGCTGCCCTGGAACTAGTTCTTGTAGACCAGGCTGGACTCGAACTCACAGAGATCCTCTGCTTCCAAATGCTGGGATTAAAGGTGTGCACTACTACTGCCCGTCTTGGGTTTTCCTTCTTAAGACACTGCAAACCATAACTAGGGGCCATTTCCCTCCTGGATATGGACAGAGCCCAAACACCTGGTCAATATTTAATTAAAGTGTGTTTCAAATTTGGCTTTCAACTGTGGTAGTGGTCTTATTCCCAATCAGTGGGATGTACACACACCTGTGATCCCAGTGCTTTGGAGGCTAAAGCAAGAGTATGACTCTGAACTCCAGGCCACCTTGGCTACAGTGTGTGTCTGTCTTAAAAAAAAAACAAAACAGCAAACTGTTTGTTTGCTAGAGACTGATGCAACCACAGGGCTGCATTGCACCAGGCATCATGTGACCACTCAAACAACAAAGAAACAAGACCATCCCAAACTGGCAGGAACCAACGCAGCTTATCAATAACCACAAAGTGCTATTGCTTCTCTATAATGATATCTCCGTTCTACTAGCCTTGCAAAGTCTGATGTTCCCATCCTTGCATTTGACACTATGCCAATCCAAAAACTCAGATAAGAAAAGTTCCAGTCTATTCCTTGAGTATCCAATACCCCATACATACCCTAACTCACCAATAAGGCCTTCCTCCCATTAATGTTTATACATAAAACAAACTATCCAAAGTCCCAGCAATGAGACTCTTAGAGAAACACATAAGTACCTCTGAGTTCACGTTTTCACTCATAATAAAACGTTATCCCAGTTCTTTACTTGGTCATGTCTCTGAATTCTTTCCTTGATGGTAATAAGAACCTAGAAATAGGGGGAAGGGAGTGACTGCCTCTCCACCACCAGGCCCAAATCATGTTCTTAAACAACAAAAGGATAATGTTTCCCATGTTAATTAAAAGGAAGTCAGACATCTCTTTCAGTGACTCCTTTTGTGTTGGTGACGAAATTTGCATTTAAAATTTTTTGTTTGTTTTTTTAAAGACCTTGTGTATCTCTGGCTTCCTATGTAGCCAAGAATGACCTATCTGCTTGCACCGCCTAAGTGCTGAGGTTACAAGAATGTCACCACACCTAGCTTTGATGTTCGAATCTTTAAAGAAAAAGCTTGTAATTTTATTAACTAGTACAGTGTATTCGTTACTTTTCTTACTGCTGACAAACTATTTTATCTAAATATTATACCATATTGGGAGTGAGAAAACTCAACATAGAAATCATTTTTGGGACTGGGGAAATGGCTACATGGTAAATCACTTGCTGTAAAAGCCTGATGCTTTGAGTCAGATCCCTAGAACCTACATAAAAGCCAGTCACAGTAGCACAAACATCTACATTCAACTAAGAAAATGACAAAAATGAAGCCTTGCTTGTCTCTGAAAGAGAGGAAGATTGCTCAAGGAAATGTAATCAGACAAATGTCTCTGGAATAAACAGTGATCATCAAATTTCGACAAGGCTGTATGAGGGGAAGTGGGAAGTCAGTAAGCACAATGGGACAAGAAATCATGGATGAGATTAATATTGAAAACACAAACAAGGAATAGCAAAACAGTATATTGTTTGGAAATGTGGAAGTAAATTCTCAGAAGATACAGTTAAAGAGTTGAAGTTCCGCATGGGGTGCGGGACTGAGGGGATACGGGGAAAGAGGGAAGTCAAAACTGTCTTGTGATATGCCTGTCCTATGGTGCAACCCAAATTAAGTGGGGGCATTGAAAAATATCATTTCTTTTTCAAATGAGAGCATTGTTTTCACACATGCACTTGCAGATATTCATGCAGAAAACCAGACAGGCCGTGTTTGCTGGCCATTGTGTAATAAAAGTGGGCAATAAAAAAGATGGTGCTCAACATAAACACAACAGACACTTCTGAACAAACCTTTGGCTAAGAAGGAAGTGAAGGGGCTGGAGAGTTGGTTAGGCTATTATGAACACATGCTGCTCTGTCGTAGGACCTGAGTTCATGGCGACTCACAACCTCCTGTAACTCCAGCTTCAAACAGACACACTCACACACACACACACACACACACACACACACACACACACACACTCTCACAGTCTTGGTTTTCTTTCTATTGCTGTGATAAAATGCCATGACTAAAAGCAGCTCAGGAAAGGATTTATTACAACTTCTGTGAAGGAAAGTCAGGGCAGGAACTGAGGCAGAGGGAATGGAGGACTGGTGTTTACTACGTGTTCCCTATGCCTTGCTCAGCTCGCTTCCTTACACAGTCCAGGACCACCCACCTAGGGGTGGCACTGCCCACAGTGTGCTGGGCCTTCCCATAACAATCGTTAATCAAGAAAATGCCTACAGACAACTGATGGAAGAATGTTCTCAGTTCCCTCTTCTCAGATGACTCTGGCTTGTGTCCAGTTGACAAAAATACCACACCAAAAATAAAAATAAATCTAAAAAAAGTAAATAAAGCTAAAATTATAAATTGTTTTGGAAGAGCAGACAGGTATATGGTAGTCAAGTGCTTATGGCTAAAACAGCAGTAGAGGAAAAGTTACCATTTTTTATTCATATGTTTGAAAACAAGAAATTCAGAAATAAGTAATCTAATATATAAATCTAAATAAAGTAGAAAATGGCATGCTTGAAAGCAAGCAAAAGGCAAAATACTTGATTAATAAGTCAAAGCTATTACAAGACAAAATAACAGGCAAACTTTAGGGAGGCTTCTAGAATAGACAAAGACATAGTGGTCAAGGGTTTCAGTCTCAACAGTCATTCTACTTTGAGAGGACTAAGATAGGTATGCTATGGTCATCTTAGTCTCCTTCATAATCCATGCTGTAGGTATGGTCTGTTCTGATCAATACACTATGACAGGAGCATCGTCAAGGGTCTCTGAGAATACTTTCCTTGCTCTCAAGGGACACATTAAAAAAGTAATTGATCCCTTCCTTCTAGATACCAGAAAATGACATTTAGAATTGCTGTGTCTTCTTGCCAACCCAAGGGCAGTACCCAGAGGATTGCAGAAAGCATTAAGAATCCTGATGCTGGGGGACATGCTGTCTCTGGACTTTTTGTTATGGGAGATAATAATTTCCTTATTGCTTAAGCCACTTTGAGCCATGACTTCCTGTTGTTCCCAACCTAAGTCACCCTGATAAAAGAGGTCCCAAAGCTAAGAATGGGGGAGGAGTCCATATGTAAGTATAAATCCAGAAATCAACAAAAAAGAAAATGCTGAATTTGGGTTGGTACTTGCAAGAAGCCCTCAGTGTGATCCTCAGGACCACACACATTGGGTAATTTCAGCATTTTGGAAGTGGAGGTAGGAAGATCAAGGCCATCCTCAGCTATATATAGGGATTTTGAGGTCAGCCTGGGCCCCATGAGACCCTGACAAAGAGGGAGATATGTATGTATGTATGTATGTATGTATGGAGAGAGAGAGAGAGAGAGAGAGGAGAAAGAGAAGCATTTTGTTGCACATAATTAATAAAATGTATGATTTTCAAGGGGAAAAAACCACACATTTTCAAGACTGGCTTTAAAAAGTCTAGAAAATTCTAATGAGAGTAATAGTGATATGGAGGGGGGAAGGTCATCTCAACTCTGGTGCAAAAACAAACAAACAAACAAGACCATATGTTATAGGCAAAGTCTAAAATCTAAACAGTCAAAAAGTTGTCATTCACAGATGTCAACCCTTCCCCAAGTAATCTACATAGACAGTGTAATTCTCCCAGTGCCTGTGGTGTGTGGAACTCTAAAGTCCACCTGGAAGAGCACAATAATGGGCAAGAAAAAAAGGAATGACAGAAAACTGGACTTTCTGCATATGGAAATTGCTATAAAGCTACAGCAATACGTGTATGCTGTTGAGGCAGGAAAAACAAATGGAATAAGGCAACAGACAAGAAGCTGGTAGAGGTCTGTGTATGGGAGCTGGTAATGAACTGATAGCATTTCCAATCTTTTTTCAGGGAATGACACCTGAACAACGGACCTCAACACAGGGAAAAGTTAAGTTAGGTCCTTACCTTACACGAAATTCAAAAAGGTTTTCCAAGTGTACTTGAATTCAGATCCTTTCAGTGGGATGGGAGTAAAAAATAAATAAATAAATTCAGATCCTTTCTAAGGGTTTAAGAATTTTAAGTAAATTTAGTACGTTTTCAAGGAAAGACAACAAGGAGGCTTTTATTGAACTCTTGAGATTCAGAAAACCTTCTTTGAGTTGCTATAACAAGTCTCCCAGACTTGGGTAATTCTTTATTAGCAGGAGGTTCTGGAGGCTGAGAAGTTCAAGACTGGGGGACCAGAGTTCTTGTTGTGTCATTCCATGGGCTAAGAAGGGAGAAAGTGGGGGAGGAAGGAAAGAAAGACAAAGACAAAGGGCACCAAATTCACCCTGTTCTAAGGAATCCACAGAACTAGTCCATGGCCCATGGCTAGTCACCTCCCGTCAGATACCTCCTCCCAACTCTGTTGCATTGGTGCTCATGTTTCCAATACGTGATTTCAGGGGAACAAATCTAAGCCATAGTGTTAAGGGCATCAAATGACACCTGGGGCGCGTAGCTCAGTGATAGAGCAATTAATTAACCAGCGTGAAAGAATATCAGATTACCCAGGAACTACGAGAGGAGAGTTTTATTTATTAATTCATTCAACAATGTATTGCATTGTTCTGGTCTCTGGAATACATTAGTGAATAATGACAACAGGACTACATTGAGCTTACATTTTAGTTTACATGAGAATATATAAACAAGAAGATACATAATCACCCACACTGTACCACAGAGAAAATAAGAACAAAGTAATATCAGTGGTCAGGAGAGACCTTGCTAAGGATGATACGAGAAAGACCTCTTTTGATTCAAGGGGTATGTAAGGCTTTTACTGAAGGTCTATGTTAGGAATACAAGCGCTTGCAGATGCATTCTCCCTTGTGTCAAACAACCTTGCTTGTTCATGTATTTGTACTGAACCACTAAAATCCATGCAATGTGTCTTGGTTATCAGGAATTTCAAAGCAGAATTTCTGGAGAGAGGGTTATTATCTATTTTATTTGTGTGTCTGTTGGATGCACACACATGGGAAATGTGCCTATATGTGGGTGTGCAGATGTCAAAGGAAAACATCGGATGTTCTGCTCTTTCTCTCTCTTAGTCCTTTGAGACAGGGTCTCTCAATGAACCTGGAGCCGCAATCACCAGCCACCTTCTTGTTGAACAAAATCAGTCAACAATATAATCATGTGTAATGTATGGTCCCATGCATAGGCTTTCTAAAAACTATAATATATTAAATTTCCATACAAAAATCCAAATGTGCACCAAACCTACAACAGTGGTTATTCAAGAGAAAGAAAGAACGAGAGCAAATTAAGGGGAATGAGGACAACAGAGAGCCTCTGCCTTATACCTCTATACTCTGAACTTCTGTTGTTACAGCACGCTTAAATTTCTACCCGAGTGATTTTGTGAACATATAAAAATGTGATCCGATTTTTTAAAAAGTACATATATGCCAGCTCTGTGTGGTGACACATGCCTGTAATCCCAGCAGTTAGGAGGTGAAAGCAGCAGGATCAGGAGTTCAAGGGCATCCTCCGGTTCCCACGGGCATTCACCTGGCTTCCTGAGAACTTGTGCTACAAAACGGAGTGATTATTCTACTTGTCACGGGAGAAAAGAGAAGACGGTGAGGAAACAGCAAGACGCGATCCCTGGAAGAGCAGTCAGCTTGCAGCAGAGAAGCCCTCGCCCTCTACTCCAAATCACCATCTAACCCCCCATCACCATCTAACCCCCCATCACCATCTAGCCCCCCCATCTATCACTACCAGGCCAGATGTGGTGGATAGTGCATGCTTCTCACTGTGGAGCTCTGAAGGCAGAGGCAGGTGGATTGACAGTTTGAGGAAAGTCAACTAACTGAAGGGGGTCAGGGCCCCAGCTATGCAACTGTAAAGAAGTTGTCATCTGTGCTAAGACTGCTGTTTTAAAGCCACCCACACCCTTGCAAGGAATCACCCACACCTCTGTAAGGAACCCCTCATCCATGTTCCCATAAAGAAGCCCAATAAACTCTCTGGTGCACCAAACTAGACTTGGGTATAATCATTATTTTTCATTAGCTCCCTACCTGAGATGCTTATGTCTCCCCAGGAAAAGCTAGCCCATCTCCCCAAGATTCTTCTCCCAGAAGACCAACAAACTCAGAGAACTCAGTCTACACTCCAATCACCTCAGCCTTGAAAAAGTAAATACAAGGTTATTTTTACAACGTTTTACTATAAAAGTAACAGGTGACCTTTATAGAAAAATAAGGAGGAAGACTAAATCCTTTATAATTCCATCACCCTGAAGCTAACTTTTGACATGTTGGTACAATTCCATTTTATCATCGATGAGATCATGTATCCTAACATAATTGTTCTCATGTAGACAGTAACATAAGCTGTGCCCATGTTTCTGAAATCTGTTAATGACAGTAAGTTGATTAGTTTCATTGGCTGTGTAAATCTATAGTAGAAGAGACTTGAGTTGGGAAGCGGTAAGTCATAGAAGTTATTAGTACAGTCAACCACTGGGGACCAGTACCGTAGTGTCTGTTGGTTTGGGGACTCACATAGGTGACTATGCATGGCCTCCTTAATATCTACAGCATCCCCTTGACCAGGAGACCATATATCCTGGCCTTCCTGTTTGCTTTTCCCAATCCCAAGTCAAGACAAGGAAGATTAAATGTGGTTCTGGTAATCATGCTCTGCATCTTCATCCGGAGCTTCAGGATGCTTGAGAAGTGAATAGGTGATTGTATTCTCAACCTAGAGAAAGCAGAAATGAGTCCCGAGAGCTGCACAGTGGTCATGGGGAAAGCAGAGGATCAGGGAGAGGGGAAAGGACCCAGCTGGGCTCTCACCTCGGTTTTGGCAGCTTCTTCAAGATCAGGAGAGTTGTCTGTGGACAAAAACAAGTAATTAACACGGGCGTTACTGGAAAAGAGGGCCTGATGCACTGTTATTGAGGCTGCAAAACCAAAGCTCAAAGCAGAGCCAAGACAAGGCTTGCCAACCCCAACCCAGGCCTTCAGGCCATGCAGTGCGGCAGTATAGCCTGTGTCCCTGACTGTCTTGGAACCCAGCCTTCCCCACTGGCCACACTGGCAAAGGGAAACAGATTTGTGCCACCTTCTTTTCAGACAATCTTTGCACTTTCCCAGCAGCAACCCAAACAGCTTTTGGGACTCTGGGAAGTTGGAGAATGGGGAAATGTTTAGAACAGAGTGGAAAATCAAGTCCAGATATTTTGTCTGCCACAGACTAAAGGGAGAGAAAAAAATGGCCGCTTCTATATTGGACAAGTGCAGTATATTCTTGTTGAAGCATTGAAGAACCAGGTATTCTAACAGTAAATAGAAAGAAAAAGATAGAGGAGAAGAAAGAAAGGGAGGTGAAGAGAGAGGGAAGATGGAAAAGAGAGAAAGAAGAAAAAGACAATATTTCTCTGATAAATATCCCAAACACCACATTCCTTTATGATTTTGCCCTAAGTTCCCTTTGCCAGTATGAAAAACAGCCCCAGTATCTGTAAACTAGCATTTTGGGAAGTGGGGAAGAGGCCAAGACAATGCCTCCAGTGACCTCACTCAGTCCCTGGATACAAAGAGCCCTGTTTTCCATGTCCCAAATTCTGCCCCCACAACACATTCAGAATTCCCCCCCCCCTTTTAATACACTTCTTAGCAACTGCAGCTGCTAACAATGCCTTTAGCAGAAACCACAAGCTCTGGTACCAGGCTGCATAAATACTGTGTGAAATGTGCTTATACCAGAGTAGACAAAGCCAGACGAGGTAAATCCAGTCATGCTTAGACATTTTTTTTGGTAGACCTAGTTTGATCCTAGATGTGGATCCACATAGCCAGGCTGAAGAACACGGAGCTTGCTCAAAGCGAAGCTAAGTGAATGCTATTTTGCGCAAGCTCTCATATCCATTGGCTCTGCTCTGAGTCATACTCCAGTCCCCTGAAGTGGAATCTCCAAGGAAGCCTCTCTCCTGCCTACGTCTGCTGTCACGGAAGGCCCTAGAGAAAACTCCACTTGCCCTTATGCTCTGACTTTAACTACAGACGAGCAAATGCTCGTAATACTCCCACTCCTTCCTCCTGCACCAGGGCTGAAAAGTCACGGGCTTTCACTTCCCAGACTTGGAAGGGTTCAGAGGTCATCTAAACCACTTGCCCACCCACCCACTTCTTCAATGGAGTGACTCTAACCCCACCACGGGGAGTGACCTACTGCAGATACGGTTGTGTGATGGTGGAAGGGTCAGGCCAGTGTTTGACAAACCGAAATGAGTGGGCAATGGAGCCTATGAACAGTTCTAGTGCCCAGAATTTGCTCAACTCCAGTTTCCTCTCAATATGCTACTAAAAGTTGAGCTGTACCATGCCTTCCTCTATTCCTCCACAGGGAGACACTTTTGAAAATATCTCCAGGGTCACCCCAGACCTCCTCCTGCCCTCGTAGGGGCCTCCCTTCTTAATCTTATTGGCCTCTACCTCACAGTTGTTAAGCCTATTCTTTCCAGATCTGCCACATCTCCCCAGAAAGAGCCAAAAGTCTCTGAAGTCTTGCTCTAGAAATATCTCCAGATTCCTTGTGCATCTAGAAGTTTAGTCACAGTCCATCCTCTTTCTCTCTCTGGAGTTCCTTTTCTCATCTTTAGTGAGATCCTCCTTAGGTCTAAGAGCTAGACTCAGAACTGGCCAAGAGATTTGAGTCCCAGCCGTCCTCCCGCTGCTCCTCCCTCTCCTGCACTCCCACTGAACTCACAAGAGCTGTTGCTTGCTGGCTCCTGTCCACATGGAGGCCCTGGGCTGACCGGCACTGAGTCCCCAGAGGGAACGCTGTACTCACCCTGTTCCTTGGGAAGGGTATCTCCCTTTTCCCTGTGATCAGGGTTTCCTGGGAGAGCTAGGAGGGGCATGTAGGAAGTTAGTAGGATTACGGGATGAGTCCTGAGACCTCAGGATCAAGGACCAGAGTCAGAACTGAGTTAAAAGCAACACCTGTCTTCCCAGCTTCCCAGCTCCCTGCCCAGGAACCTCTCCAGCCGATAGTGGTTAACCCAGGAGGACTCCAGCAGACGTCACAAAAACCACCTCGCTACATCTTTCTTGGGCTTGCCTGGCCCTTGAGAAATTATCGTCTTTTGGTTGGGTGTAATGGAGCACACCTTTAATCCCAGCACTCAGGAGACAGAGACAAGCAGATCTCTACAAGTTTGAGGCCAGCCTGCTCTTCATAGTGAGTTCCAGAGCAGCTAAGACTACAAAATGAGATCCTGTCTCACAAACAAAAATGTGTAATCTTCTTCTCTGAATCTCTCAATATTTACTCATTCCCCCGTAACTGAATTCCTACGACCCAACTGTAAAGTGTGCTATGAGGTTTTAGGTATTAGTCAGTAGCAGCATTTTCTCTTTCTCAGTGGCTTCCGGCTGATGTACCTACAACATTCCTCATTTCCAAGCATTGGTCACAGTTCCTAGAATGCTCTTCCACTTCTCCTAGCTAATGGCTACCCCCAGACAGCACCCTTCTCCACGGTGGTTAACAACTTATATGCTCTTTACTGTCTGTTAGGCACTGGTATAAAGGCTTCAGCCACACTCACTGTTGTAACGCTCCTGTAAGGTGGGTCCTACCATGTTCTTCATTTTTCAGACTAGTAAACTGAGGCACAGAGGTTGAATGATTTACTGAACTTTGTATATCTGTTGAGCTGTGAGTGGAGATTTGAACCATAGCAATCTGGTCCCACTGTGTGTATTTCAACTACCTCCATGCATTTACCACTGTGCCTAGAAACTTTTTCTCTTAGTAAGTGGATTATCTGAAGTACTCTGTGATAGTGATGAAAGCTGATAAACACGTGGGGTTATGGAATCTTCCCTTTTTAAAAATTTAGATGGGGTCTTGCTGTGTGTAGCACAGACTGACTTCACACTCATTCTTCAGCCCCGGCTGGCTTCAGACCCTTTGAGAAAAACTTTATTTATGATTGTATGTGGGGCATACACTAGAGCATATCTATGAAGGTCAGAGGACACCTCTGTGGGATACGGTCTCTCTTTCCACCTTGACTTGGGCACTAAGATCACAGGGCTTGTACTGCAAGCCCTGTACTGATGGCGCCATCTCACCGGCCCTGCTTCAGAGTTTTGTTCCTTCTGTTTTACCATCCTGGGATTACAGGAATGTGCCACGGCCTCGGGCTGATAATCATATTTGTATCATTTCATTGCTCTAAGTGTCCATGTGTACCTCTGTCTTCCTCTCAATGCTGAGAACTAGCTTAGGGTAGAAATGGAACCAAACACCTACAGTGTCTAGCACTGGGAGTGGCACATCACCAAGTTTGCTCAAGTCTTGTTTGACAGATGAGTTTGTAAGTAGGTGGTTGAATATGAGAACACTATATCAAAAGGAAATAAATCTCTAACCTCTGGCCCCAGCTAAGTAGGAACTGATAATGAGAGGGTCCGAAGAGAGCCACCCACCTGGAGCCTGTTTTCGCTTCAGATAGATCAAAGATACTAGGATAATAACAATGGCAGCTACAGCAATTCCAGTGACAGCAGCCACAATTGTCAATATTGGTAAAGACCCACTGGATCTGGGCTCTGGAAAGACAGATATGATAACAGGTAAGAAGTTCTCTAATGCTTCCTTCCTCTAATGCTATGCCCAGTGTTTGTCACCTAGAGTTTCTGTGCTTGGGTCACTCACAGATGTAACACGTCACCCTGCAACCTCATCTGCATAGGTTTCTGTGGACAGACTTGTGACTCCCCAGTAACCAAGTGTTTCCACCAAACTAATGAAGGCACACTGGTGTAGGAGCAGAAGGGACAGCCCTCAGAGGTCGTGGGGAGGATGGATCTGAAGCCTCCCAGAGGTTGCTGGTACCACCACTGTCTCTAGACATGCCAGGCCTTCAAGAGTGAATGACTATTACATGAGATACAAGGAGAAGTTAAACTTCAGCTCTTAGGAATGCCTAGGAACTTAGAGAACCTATGTACCAACGACAAGGCTCTGTTTCACTGCTGCCCAATAGCCTTGTCACCTAACACCTGCAAGTGAGGAGCTCTGGGCTGAGCCCACTTGCATCACTTGGCAAGGCCTCCACAGCTCTGCTCTGCCTCCACGCCCAGTTTTGCTGCTGTGGTGTTCCTAGATCTCCACGTGGGGCTAGACAACTTTAGCCTCTGTCTATCTCCTCTTCTCCCTTCCAACATCTGACTGAGTCCCCATACCTTGGACAGTGATGGTCACAGGCCTTGACGAGTGTTGTGCCTGTCCTAGACGCGCTGTGCAGTGATAATCACCACTGTGGCTGTGATTTGCTTTGGCGATGGAGACGTTGCTAATGAAATGATTATATCTTATAGACTTTCCATTATGGTAGAATGTGACCTTGCTCATGAATTTGTTCCTCCAGCTGTGGCACCGCAACACGATGGTTTCCCCTTCCTCAAACACCAGTTGAGGGGTCTGGAGCAGCAGCCAGTCTGAAAGACACAAAAAGACCATAGGATTCAGAGTGCCTTGGCTCAGCTCTGAGACCCAGGCCATACTTCCTGGTGACATATGATATGCTAAGGGGAGAGAGCTTTAGTTTGACATCAGACGATCTTGATCTCTGATTCTAGTTCTGCTCGTTTACAAACTCTTCAGTCATGGGTAAGTAATTGAACCCTCTTGGGCCTCAATTTCCTCATCTGTGAAATGGGTATGATCAGATCCTGCAGCTACAAGAGTTCTTGGTGCATAATATTCTCCTTCCTCTTTTGAGAGAAGGCAGCTGCCATCCAGTCCTGTCAGGAAGTAACAAGAAATGGAGATCCAAGCCCTCACCGGCAGGAAAGAGGAATCCAGCCCGATGGATGTGAAGAGGACACAATAGAGCCTTCTGTTTGGGGAACAGTAGAACTTTTGAACCTCAAAAAAATGTTGGTTTCCTAGATGAACAGTAGCAGGTGTGGAACTGCAGTCCACAGGGCCAGAGGCAGCTCATTAACTGGCTGTGTACGAACTTTTGAGTTTGTACTGGCGGTAGGAGGGAACTAACAGCCACAGCGACAGTAGTCAATGCCACCTCGTGGCGGCTTTTCTGCGGAGAAAATCCGCTTTTTGCCTGGAGCCATGTAAAACCGTTGATCTTCTCAGCAAAGAATGGAAAGGAATGAGACGCGGGCTTTCACCTCAAGCGCCCACAAGCTGGTGGAAGGAAAAGAAAATGCCACGCTACCCAGAACCTCCAGAAAGAGGCATTAGCACCCTCGGCTGAGCAGCTGAGAAAGCTGAACTCAAGGTTAAATTAATTAATCAGCCATATTTATACAGACGGTCCTTCCCACAGCTTGGATTCCGTCGTGGTGGGCTATCGGCACTCTTCTGAGTGTCACGTAACAGAGGGTTTCTATGAAATAGGGACTTCCTTTTTCTGCCACATTCAGCTGCCCGTCTTTGTCCTAGACCTTCTCTTGCTCAATCAGGGCTACCACAGAAAACAACTCTTCACACAAACCGAGGAATTTCTCAGGAATCCGAGTGCCTTCCACATGCACACTAAGCACAATGGCGGGAGAGACGGGAAATGGGTGGACAAAAGCCCTTCAAGCAACTCGCAGGGATGCTTCCCAGAAAGCAGGCCACCCCTTTTCCTGCAAACCTTGCAGTAAGCAGACCCACCCCACCCCGCCCCCCCAACTTCCTGGTATCCCAGTTTCTTCCCGGGCCTGTGTCTACTAACCGGAAATCACTCCCAGTTGCACAGGGTCGCTGAGGCTGGTCTGCCCCATTCGGCACTGGTATTCTCCACTGTCGTTGTCCGAGGCTTTAAACGTGTAGCTGGGCTGGACCTGGCTCCAGAGGGAATTCCCATTGTGGAGCCACTGGGTGGAATCGTTCCCAGGGCTGTGGGTCCCTTCACACTTCAGAGTTACCCTGTCTTCCTTCAGCACCTGGATCCATGGGGGCTCAAGCTTCACCATGGCCTTCGGGAGATCTGCTGGATTTCAGAGAGAGAAGGCCGTCTGAGGCAAGGGAACCCCAGGAGCCTAAGCAGGCTCCGATAAAAATAAAAAAAAAAAAAGGCACAGGTATTACCTACCACTGAACACACCAAAGGTAGGACCCGGCCCAGAAAACTTCTTCCACTAAATACTTCTACTCATTCCATCCCACAAGTCCCAGGGAACGCACAAGGGATATAATTGACCCCCTCAGCAGGGTAGAGCAAGAGAGAAGGCTGGAACCTGCCGTCAAGTTTGAAACCCCACAAACCCTGAGGTGCCTATTTACCATGTCAGAGCAGCTCTAATGACCAGGTTCTCCTCTCATCCCTCAGTCCCTACCTGATGTAGGATATGGCCCTCACCCCTGAGCTGGACTTCCCTTTCCCCCAGAGGCTCTTCCCTATATAATCCAGACGATCGGCCCTTTGCCTCCTGACTGCTGCACCTGGTCCATCCCCCCACCCCACGGCATGGTTCAGCTCAGCCTGGACATGTCCACCCTGGACTCTTCCAGATGTCCCTGCCTCTGACTATGCTCTCCCACAAATATACAACAAACTTTCTCCTCCACCATACCTAGACGCATTCATGTCCTTTCCTTTCCATTCCTTTTTTGTTTCCATTCAGGGGCAAATGAGACACCCCAGAAATACATATCTTTCACCAAGATATATTTCAGTTTCTCCCTCCTGTTACTTGCCTCCCCTGCATGTAGATGGCTCTCTCTGTTGGTAGAACAGGCCTTGAAGCCCTGTGCTGGCTAGTCATATGTCAACTTACCATACAAGCCAGCGTTATCCGAAAGGAGAGAGGCTCAACTGAGAAAATGCTTCTATAAGATCTTGCTGTAAGGCATTTTCTTAGCTCGTGATCGCTGGGGGAAGGCCCAGCCTATTGTGTTGTGGGTGATGCTATCCCTGGGCTGGTGGTTCAGGGGTTTTACAAACAGGCTGAGGAAGCAAGCCAGTAAGCAGCATCCCACCTTGGCCTCTGCATCAACTCCTGCCTCCAGGTTCCTGTCCTGACTTCCTTTGATAATAAACAGCAATATGGAAGAATAAGCCAACTAAACCTTTCCTCCCCACTTGCTTTTTGGTCATGGTGTTTGTTTTGTTGTAGCAGTGGAAACCCTAATGAAGGCAAGCCCTGAGACCCATGCAAAGTAGAGGACTTAGCAACACATGGGACAATCTAGGCAGATAGTGTAATTTTCTATGTGCTTGAATCTTGTTTAGAAAGAGAGGGCTTTTGGGCTTTCTTTCCTTTTCTTAAGGTTTTTTTGTTGTTTGTAATAGGGTTTCTCTGTGTAGCTCTGGCTGTCCTGGAACTTGCTCTGTCGACCAGGATGGCCTAGAATGCAGAGATTCACCATCCCTACCTCCAGAGTGCTGGGATTAAAGGCATGTACCGCCATATACAACTGGTTTTGGTTTTGTTTGTTTGTTTACTAATAAGAATTTGAAAAGTGCTTGATACATAATAATTATGTATTTACAGGGTACAGTATGATAATTCAGTACATAGACCCAAAGTGTAATGGTCAGAGAGTTTTGGATATCTATCACCTCACACTTTGTCTGCATTGAGAATGTCCAAATCATCTATACTAGCTACTGTGAAATATCCAAAATTGTCAGCCATAATTATTCTTTGTGGTGGTATGAGTAGAACCATAGGCCAACAGGGAATGACACTATTAGGAGATGTGGCCTTGTTAGAGTATGTGTGGCCTTCTTGGAGGAAGCGTGTATTGGGGGTGGACTTTGAGGTTTCAGCCGCTCAAGCTAGGCCCAGTGTCTCTCTCTTCCTGCTGTCTGTGACTCCAGATGTAGAACTCTCAGCTCCTTCTCCAGCACTCTCTGTTTCCTTGAGATCGACTTTTCAGAAGCTCTGGATTTGACTTACAGAGTGGAAGTTGAGAACAAGGACAGATTTCTCATTGTTTGTGACAACTGGCCCACATTTCACTGTAACAGAACCAGAAGAGCTGCTATACTAGGGAGTCATGCCTATCTGACCATCTGCCACCCCAGACAGAGGGGAAGAGGGGAAGAGGGGAAAAGGGGAAGAGGGGAAGGGCAGGACGTCTTCTGGGAACAATGGCCCTTCCTGGTCCTGAGCCGGTCCTGAGCGTGGTGCCGGTACACTCTGAGCACAGGCGATGACCGGTGGAAGAGGACAGTGACGCGAAGGAGGGTGAGAAGGTCTGAAGAGAGAACTTACCATGTGTCCCAGCAGCAAGATCTGCAAGAAAGGAAGCAAACATCAGCCAGGGCCTGGGCTTCCACACTGGGGCATGGCTGCCCAGACCCAGAGCCCCCTTCACTCCCATAGCCCAACCTTCACGGCAAAGCCCTCACCTAAATGAAGTACACTTCAGAAGCTCTGTCCCCAGTAACATCTGTGTTGTGACACTTTCATTAGGCTGAACATAGTGACTGATAAAGTCCCTGATGAAGTTTACATGTGATTTGTGTTTCAGACTTTGCCAATGTCCATCCTGAGAGCAGAGCTTTTCTTTTGTGGGGAGGGACTATGGATCACATAGGTAATCCACAATCATTAGAAAATACTCATGGCAACTATTATCACCTTAGCGTATGTGTCCTTAGAATTTCCCCATGAGCGTGTGCGTGCATGCGTGTGTGTGTGTGTGTGTGTGTGTATGTGTGTGTGTCTGTGTGTGTGTGTCTGTGTGTGTGTGTGTGTGTGTGTTTGTAAAAAGAGGAGATGATGAGAGATGTCATTCTGAAATCTGTCTCTTATTGGTTGTTGAATAAAGCACTGTTGGCCAATAGGGAAGCAAGATAGGTGGGACTAGGAGTCGAGGAGGATTCTGGGTAAGGAGAAACATAAGGAGTCACGGTGAAGACTCCAGAGGAGTAAAAGGTCCGGACCCTTTCTCTGGTAAGATAAATACTTAGATTAACAATTATGGTGTAAATACTTCAGTCAGAGATAGCCAGTAAGAAACCAAGCAAGGCCAACAGCTATAGCCTCCTGTGTGTTCATTTGGGACTGATGCAGCTCTGGAACCAGGCTGGCGGGAAGGCTTCTCTCTACATATGGTGTCAGCATGTGGGATTAAATTTCCACGTAGAATGACAAAAGCTTAGAAGGAATTTTAGAAACAAAAGAACGGAGATAAGCACAACTTTTTGGTAGCAGCTTTTTCTCAGGTAGGCTCTGTTTTGCTAGCGACAAGCAGAGACTCACTCGGCTCACTTAAGGGAGTCTTCCTGACTCAGCATAAGAAAAAAAAAACCAGCAAGGTCCTTTTAAGAGGCTCTGCTAACAATTGAAAAGTGTGTATGTACAGCTGGAAGTGGCAGAGACCACATCTCCAAGCCGGCAGCTTTTGCTTGATGTCAGCATAGACTGAGGCAATGAGCTGAAATCACGCTTATGCCTGCCATCTTGGAAAAACTGCAGTTTAAACAGCCTCGGTTTTAATAGATAAGACACGTGGCCAGAAAAACATAAAGATTTACAGTAAAGTCAGATTCAGATGAAGAAAAACCTCTAAAGGCTTTACAGTGTGTTTAAAAATATACGTAGGATTGGGAGAGAAAAAGAAACGGCATAGTGGTAAATAAATAGAGAAGCCAGCTGTGGTAGCACACGCCGGTAGGACTTGCTCCAGAGGCAGAGGCAGGCGGATTTCCAGAGAAACCCTGTCTCAGAGAAATAAATAAATAAAAGTAAAAGAAATAGAGTAATATAAACCATGTAAAGATGGAAAATACACAGAGTCTGGATAGTGTATACTATTGTGATTTTCAATTTTTTGATTGCTAAAGGAACAACTACTAAAGTACACTTGATTATAAATGCTGCTGAATTAATTCAACTTATATCTTTTGAAAATGCCTTGACTTCAATATTTAAGTATAAGGATATGCTGCTTTGGAAAAGATATTTTATTTGTGCTTCCACAGAAAATGGAAAGCTGTGGATTCCTTCCACGCTTCTGTGGGTTGATGAACCAAGACCCCCGGAAGCAATGGCCCAAGTGATTCAACATCTAAAACAGCTAAGACGATGGAGCCTTACAGACCCTGAAAATAAGGACTTACACAGGTTTCTGAGTTTTGACATGATTCCCATGGTATGAACGGCGCCCCCATCCAGCACGAAGCAGTTTGGAATGAGCGACATCCAAATTCCCATATTGTTTATAAATATTTGTTTTCATTTGAATGGAGTTGCTTATAATTGGTTAATGATAACAACCAATCTATTTTTGAAGGTGAAAGGGGAATTATGGTATGGAAATGAATACTTTGTATTGGTATGGTTTTTCATTTATTGATATAAATTCAAGGTCAATTTTGTGATATATATGTTTCTCCTCTTGATTGAGTATTGTGCTTATACCGATCTTTTAAAACATAATGCATAATTAAATACAGACTATAGATAGTTACGTATATTATTCAGAATTTATAGTTAGGTAAGTTAGGTTTTCTAGATATACAGAGATATATTTGAGATAAATAGATAGTCTTCAAACCTTTCAAAGACCTTCAGAAAATGGCATTTAAAAAGGTTTAGGGTTTTTCTTGACAATGAGAAATGTCTGCTCCTGGCATCACCAATTATGTCTGAGAGGAAGATGGCCATTGAAGAAACTCATTATGGAGTTTGCTTTCAACATGGCAAGATTAGCCATTTGGGCAAGAAACTGCTCTTTCTTGGACTGTTGCTGTATAAACTGGACATGCAGGACCCACAGAAAAGTGACTGCTGAACTCAAACAGCCCTTCAGGGTTCCTGCTTCATGGAAAAGTCTACGAGACTTTCTGCAGGACACAGAAAAATGACTGACAGACTGCCAATGCAGATGGACAGTTTAAAATGTCCTGCTTTGCTGAGAAGTCTTCCAGACACACTGTGGCCTATGGGCTGAAGATGGATGCCCCGATGTAACAGAGGAACTTCGGGTGACTGTCCAGGTATTGAGATGTCTCTGTCAATCCTAGGGTTTATATATTATCCTTCTGTAGTCTTTGATGGAGTTGAAGACAGATAGTTATCATCATAGTTTTCCTTAGTTATGATAAAAGATAAACTACATATAAGACTTTAGACTCATAAAGACAGGATAGATGATATTTTCTTTAAATCTTACTAAAGGTTAATGGACAAATATTGTAACTGTGTTCTTACTTGATAACTGTTCTGTTGTATATAATTTGACTATGTTGAAGTTAAAACCTTTCTCTTATTTTAGACAGAAAAGAGGAGATGATGGGAGATGTCATTCTGAAATCTGTCTCTTATTGGTTGTTGAATAAAGCACTGTTGGCCAATAGGGAAGCAAGATAGGTGGGACTAGGAGTCGAGGAGGACTCTGGGTAAGGAGAAACACAAGGAGTCACGATGTAGCCTCCAGAAGAGTAAAAGGTCTGGACCCTTTCTCTGGTAAGAGAAATACTTAGATTAACAATTATGGAATTAAATACTTAAGTCAGAGATAGCCAGTAAGAAACAAAGCAAACGGCCAACAGCTATAGCCTCCTGTGTGTTCATTTGGGACTGATGCATCTCTGGAACCAGGCTGGCGGGAAGACTTCTCTCTACACCAGAGGGCCTGAGTTTGATCCCCAGCACCCACATGGTGGTTCACAGCCATCTCTAACTCTGGTTCTAGGGGATCTGACATCCTCTTCTGGTCTCCCTGGGCACCAGTCTTATGAGTGGTGCACAGACACACATGCAGCAAAACACTCATTCACAAAAACTAACTAAATAAAAAAAGAACACTGGATCAATGACCCATGGAGGCAGAAATGGCTTCCCAAGTGGAAGCCAAGCATGGAGCGGGAATGCTGAATGGAAGGATGGAGATATTTGGAGATACTATTATACCACCGTTAGGTACAATAGTAAAAAACTGGCCCTGAGATAAGCTAGAGCCAATGTGTGTGCTGTGTCTATGCACATTTATGCTCCCATCTGTTAAGAGAAGCTTTTTCTTGCTAGCCGCTTTGGTATATCACCCGCCAGTCGCTTGGGCTCCGCCACATTGTAGTCCCCAAATAAACACCCAGGAGGCTATATTAATTATGAAGCTGTTGGCCTTGCTTATTTCTTACTGGCTAGCTCTGACTTAAGTAATTACCCCATAATTGTTAATCTAAGAATAGTTCCAGGCTTCCTATCCCCATGGCGTTACATGTTGACTCTCTGTGTTTCTCCTTCCCAGAATCCTCCTGGATTCCTAGCCCCACCTATCTAGATTCCTATTGGCCAGACAGTGCTTTATTAGCATAAGACTTCCCCAACACCCATCCATGGTGGGAGTTTTCACTTACACTTGAGCTGAGAAAGTCGAGAGGCGTCCAAGTCTGAATACGCTCAGGGATGAAGATGTGAAGGCAAGTGCCGAGGAGGGAGTGCCGTAGGGGCATGTTGCTCTGGCGATCTAGGAAACTGGATTCTGATCCCCATACCTCCACACCTCAGTACGTGCACTTACACCAATCACTCCGCCCCTTCGTAATTCCAGAAAGTGTGCTGACTACCTCCTTCCTTGCTGTTCATCCTGAGTGCACTTGAAGGTAATTATGTAAGGCCCTGATCCCCACAGGAGCCTGCAGTCTGATGACAAGAATAAAACCGTGTGCAACGCAATCTTTAAAAGACCTTTTGGTTTTGATATGGCCTCATTATGTAACTCTGGCTGGCCTTGTACTCACGGCGATCTACCCAGTTCTGCATCCCTAATGCTACGCCAGCACGTCTTATAAAAGAGACATTCTCGATGCCTTTAGAAAAATATGGACACGCGTTACGGAAGTTCAGAGGAGGAAGAGATTCTAGGGCTTTGTATTTGGCTGGATTTTGTCTAGGAGGGAAAGTGAGAAAGTGGCGTTTGTCTTGCAACCTATAATTGTGACCAACAGAAAAGGAATATACCCTAAAAAAGACGGATGGATATTTGTCAACACGCTCAGCACGTTACAGCCTGATTGCTGCTTTGGTCTGTTGAAAACACCTCAACAAAGAGGAACAAAACTGAAAAGAGAGGTGGCTGCCGTATTCTGGAGGACTGTCGCTACCAAATGAAATGGCGGTGAGTCAGAACACACAGAGTTCACACACTGACTTCACCACTGTGGTGGTTAGTCTTCATTATCAACTTGACTAGATTTAGAATCACCATGGAAACATCATTCATTGTGTCAAAAAAAGGTATTTCTGGAAAGGTTTGATGTAAGTGATAAGACTCACCCTGAATATGGGTGTGACCATTCAATAGGCTGGGGGAGGAAACAAGCTGTGTACGGGTGTACATCTCTCTGCTTCCTGACTGTGGGTGTGAGGTGACCAGTCCAGGCTCCTGCCACTATGCCTTCATACCCTCCAGTTATACGCCGAAATAACTCTTCCTTGAGTTGCTTTTGCCTGGTGTTTTGTCAAAGTAATGAGAAAAGTAATTAAATACAACTGAAGTGGCCGGGGGTTGGTGGTGCACGCCTTCAATCCCAGCACTCGGGAGGCAGAGGCAGGTGGATCTCTGTGAGTTCTAGACCAGCCTGGTCTACAAGAGCTAGTTCCAGGACAGCCTCTAAAGCCACAGAGAAACCCTGTCTCAAAAAAACAAACAAACAAACAAAAAATACAACTGATGTACAATGACCTTGCAAAGGCAATTTTGCTTTTCTCTGCTTTGTGCCCCTTGCTTATAAATGGAAACAATGACAGCAACACCCATGTCATAAAACTGTTGTAAGGATTAAGGATAACCCAGATGTGGCATCTGTGTGGTGCCGAAGGCACCATGTGAGTAACTTTTAAATGATCGTGAGCAAATTTTCAAAGTTTGCTGTTTAGTTCAGTAAACAACGAGAAGTTCATATCGGGACGGAAAATGCTGTGTCAGACTAATTGGGACAGAGGAAGTGCCAGAGATTAGCAAGAAAAAGATGGTGATCTAGAATGCATGTTAATTGCTGGGCAACATCTGGCTTCTTCATCCCTCGACTTTCTCGTCTGTAGTGAACATTCTCTCATGTAGATTAGCCACACAGGCCCATGTTATACCTCAAGGCCTTGTGATCATCACTCCTAATCATACCACCTTCGAAACCACAAGATCAAATGTTCCAGGCTTCCTTCACAACAATAATCCTCCTCCCTTTTTCTTCCATTTGCCCCAGTACAGCCTCTATAGTCACCTGACCACGACTTTCTCTCACCACTGTGTACCTCTGAACACACACACACACACACACACACACACACACCTAGTGTACAGTCCATGATTCATCATTACCACCTCGTGGCAAATCCCTTTATCTTTTTGTTGCTGTTGTTGAGATGTTGAGACAAGGTCTCATGTAGTCCAGACTTGCTTCAAATTGTGAGGTAGCCCATAATGGCCTTGAACCCCAGTCCTTCCTGCCTCTACTTCCCAAATACCACTCATGAGTGGATCCCCTTAACTTATTTACCCTTTTTGACTTTATCAAATGTGTTGATATTCCTCCATGACTTTGCTTGCTCATCTGCATTGACAATAGGAAGTAAAGAAGCCACACATGTGAGAGAAACTTAAGAGGCAAGACTGGGAAAAATTGGCATTTAATGAAGCATGAAGTTGGTAAATATGGATGACCAGGGGCAAGGTGACATTACTCATGCAAATAGAAAGATTATAAAGATATAAGGAAGTGATGCTATGTTGAATATTGAATATAATTTTGTTTCTAAGCTGACAAATCTATTTATAGATGTCTAATCAACATGCAGGGGAATTAAAGTATACAGAGGAAGGAACGACAAATAAGTTTGGGAGCTAGTGACATAGAAGTAATAGCTGAAAACCCTGAGTATGTGGGATTAGCTGGGGTTAGCACATGCATAAAAAGGGGAAAGAAAACCTTGGGGATGTGGAAGGGAGAAGCCATCATTTATACATTCATTCTATACTCAACAGATATGAAAACTATGTTCTTGTCCAATGTATTCATTAGCAGGAAGACAAACACCTTGTACTTTAGGTCAGGAACACTGCCTGTTTTGTTCACTGACATGACCCCAAGTCCAGAACAGTGTCTGGCACAAAGAACTTAAAGAGTGAGCTGAAGCACAGGTAGTAAGAGCCAAGTGTATTGTCCACACTGCCTGGCTGAGGGAATCCATGTAGGTGGAATGGGGGCATGGGGAGCAGGACACTACTGGAGCTTTATCAAGAGACAATGGGCCAGCACTGAAGACACCTAGAAAGCGCTGTGCCTTCCCATAGCTGTCCTGGAAGATTTCACAGCTACACAGCACCAAAGTCAAGATCAACCAAGACACAGTCACAGGGTGTTATAATATTAAATCAAGTGACGAAGTCCTAAGTGTGGAGGCCCAGAAAATAATGGGGAAAAATAGGGATTTAGCAAAAGAAAATGGAAGAAAGTACCGTTCTTGGAAGTCTTCACCAGGTGATTGATGGCTCTACAGTATTTCCCTCTTTAGGACTGAACCTTCCTATGTAGAAACTGAGCTCTCTGGTGTCACTTTAATATACATACTTGTGGGTACATAGTCTCTCTTTCATTCTGCTCTCCCTGGTAGCCACATCCCGCCCAGTACTGACAGCTGTGTTCCCCCAGGGCTGACCAAATTTCACTATGAGTCATAGCACATAACCTGGGACAAGGGGGTGAGATGGCTATCTGTACTCCTCTCAGTGGTATGGATAGAAGTCCCAGAACTGAGCTTAGAAGATGGCCCTGCAATAGGACTCACCCAGACTCTTGTAATCGCCCAGCACCATCACTTTCTGTCCTCTGACCCACAGATGAGACCAGGACCAGAAAAATCTTCCTCCACCTCGGCCTAAGACCCACCCCACCCCTGACTTTCTTACTATGCCAGTCAAGACCATGTCCCATGGTCTTGCAGTGAAGGAGGCCAGAGAGATTTCTTTAGCCCCACAACTGACAACTCCAAACTTGCCCAGGTTCATGATACTCTGAGCCCAAATTCCCAAGATAAATCCCAGACCTTATATATGAAGGGGGGGATAATTTCTTCTGGGTAGAGTGGCTTCATGGGCACAGAGAGTTTCCACTGCCACCCCCTCACATGCATCTTAGAGTTCCCTCCCAACCCTTGTCTAAAGCAGCACTAGACAGCTTGCCCAAGATTTGGTCCTGCGTGAACCACAAATTCAAAAGGAAACTATCCGCCTTATTTATTACTCAAGTCTAGGACACTTGATTTCCCTCAGAGAAGGTTCTCACGGGGAGGGTGGTAGTGCATCAGAGACCTGGGTACTGAGTGACAGTAGGTTCTAATGGGAAAGGGGGTTGTGCATCAGGGACCTGGGTACCAAATGACAGGAAAACAAGCAACAACAAAAACTCCTGCCAGCTTTGATTTTTCAAAGACCAGCCAGGTGGTTACAGCCTAGTTATTAGCCTGCTACCACTCTTGATTTTTCTGACATGCTTCCTGTGCTATGTCCATCCCTGCGCAAGTCCAGCCCCAACCCAGGTGTCCTTGCCCTGCTTCCCTTCTGGAGGTTCTGACTTACTTAGCACAGCTGTCCACAGCAGCATCTGGCACAAAGTCTGTGAGAGCAAATAGGCAGCCCAGTTGCTCTCCATGGGGAGAGTTAGGAATGGTGGGATCCGCATCGTCCCTGGAACCAGCCAGCTGCAGGCACAGGCTTCTCTCCAGCCTTGGCAGACTCTACCCAGAGAACAAATTCTGGAGTCCAAAAGCGGAAGTGAAAAGAAACGGTCTGTTTAATCATTGGCTCCTCCCCTTCCACCCTCTTTCCTTTCATCTGTTCCCTATTAGAAGACTCAGGACTGACCAGAGTCAACATGGTTCAGGTCAGGTCATAAAAACTTTAGAAACTGAGAATCAGCTCCCCCTTGTTCTGTTGGAGCCATAGCTGCCTGGGCCTCAGACAGGGAGATGGCTGCCCAGACTCAGATCATTAGCCTTAGTCTTTGTGTTCCTCAAGGAAGGTGATGAAGGATGGTAGACAAGAATCTTCTGACACTTCTTTTTGGAGGCCCAGTCTCTGGAATCTGGACTCCCCCAGAAATGGAGCCTTCATCCTCCACACCCCCCTCTACTCACTCCTCTGTTAACTCAATGAAGATCTCAGTAAAGATCTACTGAGCCTGGTTCCTAATCCATCCCTGTTCTCACAACTATGGCTTCATGGAAGACCGTAGGTTTCCAAGCTGCAATACTATAGGTTGAGTATCAGGGAGCTTCTGAGAGCTCGTGGCTCCTGGGCTGGGGAAATGAAGCTCATCATTACTACCCACTCGAAAGTTTCTCGGCTTCTGCAGCACTGATACTTTTAGCAGGAAAAAAATTTAAGAAGTGGATTATTATGGAACCCAGGATGGTCTGGAACTGACTGTGCAGCCCAGCATAGCCTCAAGCTTGAGCTCCTGCTACCTCAGCCTTCAGGGTCCTAAGATTGCAGGGTTACCATCACAAGAGTTGTCTCATAACCCTCCTGAGGGCTTGCCCTGTGCACTGTGGGATGCTTAGCAGCACACCCTGCTGCTACCCAACAGTGATATTTCTCATCAGTGAAAGCATTCCAAGGATTTGGTAAATGCTCCCCCGAATAAAGTGGGCGAAACTGTCACTGGTGACGAGCGAATTGTACTCAAGATTACTGGAAAATAAAAAGAATATGAGTGTGTCAGGAGTGGATGCTGTTTTTTGTCTCTCTTGCCTCCTGCCCTCAGGTCATGAGATGTTCTGGGATCAATCTTGGGGCCCTCTTCTGGGGCCTCTTTCCCAAATGTCCTTTCAGGAAGCAATTTGTAATACTCAAGGAAATGACATGCTAAACCGCCTTACACTCTGTGGTCTTCAGAAGCCTTCAACAGTTCCACTCTGTCTACCATTTGCCTACTGGTGCCGTCCTACCTTCCAGCCCCGCCCCCGCCAGCTCTTTTCAGATTCTTAACCTATGGGAAGAGAGCAATGGGATGGCATCAGCTTAACTGTCATTAGAAATGAAATATCATTAGAATGCAGTCAATCATCATTAAGTATCATTAGAAATGAGAGCATAAGAACAGTATATAATTAGCATACTAAGAAAGAAAATCGATAATATGTAAACACGGGAATGCTATCTAACTGTGAAGAAGGCAATAGACTTACCTAATTAATACAACAATCCCAGAAGAAAGCTCTATTGTGCTCAGTTAGCACACGAAGATCCTGTGTGATAGAGTCAAAACACAAAGCCTGGTGTGTTCAGTATTAAAGGTTTCGACCTTACTACAGCATTCAAGCGGCTTTCCAAACCCTTCACAGACTGCCTTTGTGCCTGTGTTCGTAAACTTTTGGACTGGCCCTTTGTCTTAGGGTTTCTATTGCTGCAATGAAGCACCATGACCAAAAACCTGTGGTGATATATTATTTATGATTTAATAAAACTTGCCTGAAGAATAAGAATGCAAGGCTAGCCAGGCGTTGGTGGTGCATGCCTTTAATCCCAGCATTCGGGAGGCAGAGGCAGGTGGATCTCTGTGAGTTCGAGGCCAGCCTGGTCTACAGAGAGTTCCAGGACAGCCTCCAAAACAATACAGAGAAACCTTGTCTTGAAAAAACAAAACAAACAAACAAACAAAAAAACCCAAAAGGATGCAAAGCTAGCCACATCCATAGAAGCTGGGCAGTGGTGACACACATCTTTAATCTCAGGACTCTAGAGACAGAGGCAGATGGATCTCTGTGAGTTCAAGGCCACCCTGAGCTACCAAAGAGTGAATCGGTCTAAAAGAGAAACAGAGCTCATTTCTTTAATCCCAGGAGTAGAGAGGTATATAAAAGACAAGAGCCTGTGTTCTGAGATTTAGTTTCCAGTCACAGAGAAGACAGGATCTCCATTTCAGCCTTGGTAGAGGCAAGAGTTACTGACTGGCTGCTTTGCTTCTCTGATTTTTTAGCTTGAATCCCAGTGTTAGTTTCTGGGTTTTTATTATTTGTATTACAAATAAGCAAGTTGGAGAAGAAAGTGTTTATTAAGGAAATCAGGGCAGGAACCTGGAGGTAGGAGCTGGTGCAGAGGCCATGGAGGAGTGTTGCTTACTGGCTTGCTTCCCATGGTTTGCTCAGTCTGCTTTCTTAGAACCCAAAACCTCCAGCCCCGGGGGTGGCACCACCCATAATGGTCGGGGACTCCCCTATCAATCTCCAATTAAGACAATGCCCTACACCTGGATCTTATGGAGGTGTCGTCTCTATTGAGTTTCCCTCCTTTCAGGAAACTCTAGCTTGAGTCGAGTTGACGTAAGACTAACCAGCACAGCCTTTGAGTGTCCCTCTGGCTCGAGCACACCTTGATGGCACAGTTGTGCCAGCTGAGAAGAGCCTAATTTGTTTACATGGCATGTGTGGTTTCCTCTGAATACCCAGATGTGAAGATGGCCAGATGTGGAGACAGCCAGGTGTGGAGATGGTTAAAAAGCATTGCACACTGCACATGTTACTCTTCTGTATTTTCTCAGGCCCAACCAACAAGACAGTATCCTTTAGACAACTTATTAAGTGAGATCATCATAAAGCCAGTTATGGCATTTCCAGGAACGATAAGCTGAAACCAACCTGGGAGTCTCTTTCCTATCACAACTGGGAAAGGACTACAGAGGAGACACATCTGAAAGGAAATGGTTACAAACATAGCTATACACAACTGAAAACCGAAATATACCAAACAAAAGGGAAAATTCTTCAAAAGGGATACTCGGTAGAAAGTGTTATTTCTAGTCTTGGAAAAGGTCTAAGTGGCAGAAAAATCATGAAAGTTCATCAATAAAGAACAGGATGGCCCCTAGACCCTGCCCCAAATGTTATGACAGCCTTTGATGATTCCCCATGGGAGGCCTCACTCTCCCCAGGGAGTGGATGGGGAGTGGGATGGGGGTGTTGGTGGGGGAAATGGGAGGACAGAAGAGAGAGGGAACTGGGATCAGTATGTAAAATAAGATTGTTTTTATTTTAAATTAAAAAAAAGGAACAAGATGGTCAGGCATGACAGTATACAACTGTAATCTCAGCACTTGGGAGACTGAGGCAGCAGGATGGTGATCCTATCTCAAAAGATTAAAACAACAGACAAGACCAGCAATGAAAGATCACAGGCTTCAGAGACAGACCCTGATCAAAAACCTGATCCTCTCACAGACTTACATCCCTGGACATACTTTTCATTGTTCCCAAGCTCTGTAAAAGGGAGATGTTCTTAGTGATAAAACCGAAGCCTGAATCAGGCTTTGCCTCTTTGCAGCTCCCTCTGAAACAGAATTAAGAAGCATTCAGATTTTCAGTACCAGGCTCCTCCACGTTTTGTCACATGCGCTATGGTGAACCACATCAGGTCATACATAACTTCCCGACACCTTCGAAAGTATACAAAACGTCAGGCTTTTCCTTTGTTCTGGGGATCAGTCTGAGACTGCTCAAGGAGATTTTGTCCAGAGGTGCTCTAACTCCAAATGTTACACTGTCTCTGCCTGATGCTCTCCCTTCGACCTCCAGCTTGATCATGGCCTTCGTTGAAGGGATTCGTGGCAGCTTCTTCTGTAGACTTTGCTCTGCCTTCTTTTGTGACAGTGTTTGTGATGTTGTGAAGACTGACACAACAATGCATGAAAAAGGTTCCCTTGCAAGCTGACATACATTCTCTCTAGAAGTACTGTCCTTAAAGACGAGAAGAGTCTAGTCTGCTGCTTCCCCAGATTGAGGAGGGTTGGAAAGTGCTGTAAATTTAGATGGTTCTGAAGGGTTCAAGAATATAGAAATATACAATTGAAAGCCCAAACACATTTTGAAAACCTTTAACAACCGCTTTCTACCTTAAAAGCATACACCCTGGCAACCGCTGTGTATGTAGGTAAACTTTTAACAGTTGTCTCCCGCCTCCTAGCTCCCCAGCTAGGCAGGTATGGCAGACAAAGGTTAGCTTCTAACTATTGCCTCTCTGGGGCCCTCTGCGTTGTAGTTCCTTAATTTTAGCTGTTCTATGTGACTCTACTCTTTGCCTTGCATTCTTTCAGGGACAGCAAAAGCAGCTGTGTCAACAGGCTTTCACAAACATCCTACCCTCCTATAACCAAAAGCTATAACATTTAAAATGTAATGTGACTCTAAGCCTGACCTCAGGGTGGTAAAAGCTCTTTGATCCACACCTGGTGCTTGATTTTACTATAAGAAGAGGCTCCAAACCAGTCCCCATTGCCACGTTTGAGAAGCCCAATTCTGTCTGTGGTCCCAGTTAACTGGTAAGCTTTTTGTGTCCCATAGTGATTTTTTTTTGGAATAAAGTTTGCTTCTGTTTCAGACAATGGTGGTTGCACCCCACACCCAACAGTGCCAACTCAAGACATTCTCAGATCCTGCATCCTCTCTGCATGTTCTTTCTTCTTGGTTGAGTTTTGTTTCTCTTCCTCTTAACATCCTGACCACTGGTTCAGTGGATCCCTGTGATATGACTTTATCAGTCCCCTGTAGGGTTTCCTGGTTACAGCCACTTCCCTGTGAACTGAGTCTCCTTAAACAGTACAAGCAGATGTCAACTCTAGGGAACCAGCTCCAGGGAAGGGTAGGCAAAGCAACCACAAACGGGGAATCAAGGAGGACAGCTGAGTTAAAGAGACCCTGGTTTAAGACCTCAGCTAGATCCAGACACCAGCATCACCCACCAAGGGCATCAAGTCTTTGTGTTCAAATAC